TGCACCACTCCACTGAGAGCACTCCACCATTATCTCTCTTCCAACCAAGATCTTGCGGATCAGGTACATTTGTATTAATGGTTGAGCCAGATGTGCTAATTCCAATTAAAGTTTAATACTATTTATAGTTTACGACTAGGGTGTGCAGCTTCAGGGCTTCTCTCGCATGGTGTCAAATCCATCAAAGCATGACAGTAAAGCTTTGATCTTTTGCCATGTACTTTAGTCATGACGAAACTTGTTTGTGCTAGAGTAAGCTGGTTTTCCGTACAGGTGACAAACAAACTTTTCCAGATTGGAAAACAGTTCTGAAGAAACAGTTTCAGATGTTCCTAGCTCCTTGAATGAAACAGCAAACGCTGGGTGCTTGTGGAGAATGGTGAGCGGCTTCACCTTTCTTCTCTGGACAAAATCGCTAGTCTCCTTACATCCAAAGAATGCATGGAGTCCAAGAATAGAATCCTGTAAATGTGTTTCCATTTTGTCACAGAGCGTCTGAATGTGTAGACATCTTCTTTTTTTCCCAACCCCTGTGTCAAAATTCAAACTGTGTGTGAAATGTTGAACAAAATGCAATCATCGGTAAAAAGACATCAGTGTCTGGGGACCCAATAATGATGTCTGTGTCTGGAGTAGCAATGTTCTGATCAGAGAAGATGGCATGCACGATCAGTAGTGTGTCTGCTTCCTCATGGCTAGAGGGTAACTCTGGAACAGGTCTTGAGTCTGTAGTCTTTCCATCACTGCTACTGAGGACAAAACACTGTTGGTCACTTGCAAAGTATATTTCTCTGTTCAGCAACATCATTGCATAACAATCTTGTTGCCATACATAAAGTAAGAACTGTGTCAGTTGCCTTTTGTTTTCATTATTCATATGGAACACTTTGAAGTCTTTGATACTTTGTTATCAAGGTGGGTTCCACTTTAGAATTGATAAAACACGGGTCAAGCTGTTTTTTTGGAATATGGATTGATCCTTTCTTTGTTCTGTCAACCTCTAGTGTCGGCTGGGGAATGTATGGCTGCTCTTTGATTTCTCGTATGACTAGTCCATGAGTTGAATGTGTGGTTCCAGTTCCTGATAAAGTTTCCTCATTCAAGTCAAAATTGTCTCAACAGAAGTGAGTGATGAGGTTGTTGTCAGGCATGATGGATGGGGGCAAACTACCTGAAGAAAGCTGTATACTGTCACACATGGCAGTTTCCACTTCTAAGAGAAATGAGTGGGATACAGAATGTCCATGCTGGTTTAAGATATTGATCAGCTCAGTGTTTCCTGTTGGATGACGGACACATATATATCAATCATAATATGTTTAGGCTTTTTCCATTCCCCTTTCGTCACATTGTAGCATATATCCTGACCTGTAGAAACAACTCTCCTGTGGCATCTTGTTGCCTGTTGTTTTCCATTCTTGTAGTAAAGAAAGGAAAGAAATATAATTGTTAATACTTGTGGTATCTGCAAAGTTTCTGTGCGCAGATCTGTGTCTGCTGAAAGCCAAGGTAACTTTTGACTTTCATTGCATCCATCAAGAACAGGTCGTCGTATCACCTTTGCCGCTTATATAACAAGTCTCTCTTCAGAGGTCACATTTTCAAAGGCAACTCCGACAGCCTGCCCAGTTGAAATTTCGTCAGAGTACACGAGATCACTTGTCCCAAGAATATCTCTGCCAGAAATTGATCCTGGACTTGAAGTGCTTCACAAGTTTGTCCTTCAACTTATATGTCTTGTAGTTCTTGTTGTAAAACTCTGGATAATTTGTTTGCATGAAAGTGCAATACATCTCTTTCAAAAGACTAATCCTGACAACAAGGACCAGCGCAGTGACATGTTCTTCCACAAACTGACGGACGTGCTGAAAAGCCTTGGAGTGGGCTTCTTCCTCTGCAGCTGGAGCTTTCTTTCTTTCTTTCTTTCTTTCTTTCTTTCTTTCTTTCTTTCTTCAGCTTCTGCCTTTTCTTCTCCAGAACAGTAGTTAGATGTAGAAGCTTGTGAACGTCGATACTCCTTACGTGTGTAAGCTTTTCTACATGGTTCATGATACCCTGCCTCTTGGGCAATGAGAACAGAATTTTCAATTTGGCCCCGAAGTTTTGAGTCCGTTTTCCTGTTTACAGCTTCTTTTACAGAGGCTTCAGCAGTTCTGGTAACACATTTGACAAGTTTATGAACTTCCTTGGTTCCCTTGCTGTCATGTGTCCATTCGGTAGTCTTTTCACAGAAAAGGCATTGAATAGGCAAGAGGCGTGTTGAAAACGATTGCTTTACTTTTTTCCTAGTGGAACAAGACCCTTCTTGTGCTGATTTGTCAGACTCTCCTGGTGACTGCCTTTTTCTTAAGACTCCTCAAATTGCTGGATGTATTGTAGCAGTAATCATGAAACCCATGTTGAGCAGAGTCAAACTCTGTCGGTATTCTTTCACAAATTGAGGATAGTCTATCACCGTCACTGTCAGTTTCTGCAAGGCACCGTTGTGTTTTGGATTTTTGAATGGTGTCCCAGCGTCTCTCAGTGAGATGTTTTGTTTCATCATGGCCTTTGAAGTTACAGTTATGCACCGCACATGTCCTTTCTTCAAGCTGTTCTTTCTTTTGAGATTTTGACCTCTCTTTCTTTGATGTCAAGGGAACTGATCTCAGTTCTACCTAGCTTAATTTTGAACATTCCATTCATTCTCTGAAGCATACTCGTATAAAGAAAATTGTACATTGCTAGAAAAACCAGACTTCGAATTTTTCACCTCAGTCTTCTTTTAAATTAGCTTTAACTAACAAAATGTTTTTCAAGACACCTTGATCACGCCCATATGATTGATCTAGACTATATCTGAGACAAAAGTACGCGCCTTTTTGACGTTTTTAAAATGACGCGCGCAGTTTTGTATTTTTTCAATATAGCAATAGCAAGGGTCATAACTCCTTAACTCATAGTTATTTTGCGAAAAATCCTTCTCATTTTGTGCCTCAAACTTTGAGTCAAAGTGTGTACCTGTCAGAAAACTATTGTACCGGGTTATAAAAGATCTGAAGCAATGGAATTAATAATTTCTATAGATTTTGAAATATCAGCCTTTGAATTTTCTTTTTTCCTCTTTGCATCCTGTAATTAATTAGCAAAAGAATTTTTTAAACAACATTTACATCATCTTATAATATTTGAGTTTTACTTCATATGAAAGTACACATTTTTGGCTTCACAGAGAACCCCAAAATAAAAATCAAGTATTTTCTTAATTTCTGGACAATCAAGGGCCGTAACTCTGTAGATTGCCAACATTTTGGTGCAAACTCTTTTTTGGGAAGTCCCTAGATAAAAAAAGAAAATCATGGTGGCGAAAAATCCTCAGGGGGGGGTTCACTCCCAGTAGCCCATAGCCTTTCACCTACGCATGAGATTTTAGCCACGGTTATGTTCTTATTTACTTTGTCTTAACGGCGTCGTGAACTCACCATTTTTTAACGAGAGGGTCGAAGTGAATAGGGGTGTGAACTATTGTAAGGGGGTTGGAGTTGAAAATCTTGCTCAATGCAAACTTTATGCGGAGGGTTGAAAAGCGCCATAGCACTGGTAGGTCCTACTTCTTTACTTTCCCTGGGATGTTTTGTCTGTCCGTCTTTCTTTTATCCTGCACTACATGGCCATTATTGTGTTGATGTTCCTCTCTTTACTCAAACAAACAAACAAGCAAACGTCATTTTGTTTTTAGGATCATCACAACGATTGCTATTGTATCGTATTTTTGTTGTCCTCCCAAGTTAATAAAGGAATGTAGCTCGTGGGTGGTTGGTGGGTGCTCTGGTGTGGTTTGTTTCTTCTTTCCTATCAAACATCTATCGTCTTTATCTCCCCTCCTTCTTTTTTGTGTTTATTGCTCTCTTGTAACTCCTCTAATCTTCGACACTTATGTGACCTTATTGTGTTGCAAGTGGCGTAAAACACTTACTAAAACTAAAACTAAAGGAATGTAGCTCGAGAGCGGACTGTTATAATTGTCATAGCACTGGTACTCACATAAAGGGACAGCCATACATTTCATTATACAGCATTTATGCAAAAAACCAAACAGACAAACAAACAAAAAATATGTACCCATGAGAAACCACACACACACACACACACACACACACACACACACACACACACACACACACACACACACACACACACACACACACACACACACACACACAC